TCTTCAGTATTCGCCAAAAGCAAAGTATTTGTTTTTACGATCTCAAATAATGAAGCTGGATCTTGAAGAGACCTCGATCTTGTCAGAAGTTCAACTCTGAAAAAGTTGGGTCACCTGGTGGATGTCACCCCAAGAAAGGTGACACCCGGTGCGGACCGCCCTCGTCGTCCCCCGGTTGCTAGACCACTGGGACACACAATGAGCAAAGCCCTCCTTGGAAACAAGAAAATTAGTGGGAAATCCAAGGTGATTGTTTACAAGACCGTATACCAACATTAATTTATGGTAGCGAAAGTTGGCTACTAACAAACAGACTAAAGAGCAAGATTCAGCCAGTAGATATAAAATTTTTAAGATAAGTCAAAGAAATAACTAGACGAGACAAAATCAGAGCTGATATAGTAAGGGCCGAACTGCGAATAGAATCAATCTTGCATAGAGTTGATGTACAATAATTAAGATGGTTTGGTGACCTGAACCACATGAGGGAAAGTACACCAGCTAAACGGGTGTGGGAAGTAAGAGTTCAGAAAAAAGTAATACGAGGATGTCCAAGAAAGAACTGGAACGATGAGGTGGTAGTGGCACTGAGATCTAGGGGACTGAACGAACGATGCAGTGAAACTGACAAAAAACAAAAAGCAGTGGGCTGCAATTATATCTAATATCTCAAGTTGGAAGCATCTATGAAATTCTCACAATTAAATATTCTAAGAACATGAGTATTTTAAATGTTTATCAATTTTTTTTTATTTTAGTGCAAGATTTTTGTTTAAACATTTCTGTCCTATATTAACCCATGTTCGAACATAACTTAGTATTTTATATGAGCGCATGGTCTCAACACCTTTTACCTCAAATCTAAAAATCACTGAAATCAAAACATATATGAAAATGAAATTCATGCTCGACTACCTTCAAAATGAAAACAAAAATTTAAATAAATCAAAACACACCATGATAACACTTTGGTTTTAATGTGAGCCCTGTAGAATAACACTTTTGTTATTACAGTGGACCACCTATAACCCGATAAACATTATGCAGGGCAGTGTCGCACTATCGAATTTGTCGGATTATAGAGCACTGCCTAAGGACCCCCTATAGTCCGGAATTTTTTACAAAAGAGTACCTTGTAATCCGACAAATTACATATCCAATGGTAAGATTATATATGTTATGTATACGTATGTACTTTGAAGTACAAATCATACATAGTTTATGTATGTCGAATTTAGTAACTTAAATAACAATAGAGAGCTTACGTTCTATTATAAAATTAAGCATAAATGCACATATATATCGTCGGCTTTCTCACGAAGTGTCCTAACCAACGGTTAGTGAATTTTACAGGAGAGCAAGAAAACGAAATCAGCGTGTTGTTGATGAGCATTGGATGTAAAGTTTAGATATTTTCGAATTGAAAATTCACGTGTATTAGCCTATATTCATTGTGAATCATATGCCGTTTCAATATTTGCGGTAGCTTATCAAGCTATTTTGGAAAAAAATGGAAAACGCACGTAGGTTACTTCGTGAGAATTTTCAGAAGATTTTTGTCAGACAGAGCTAAAATATATTTTCATTGAAGTTCTTGTTATTATAATTTTTTAAGATATACAGAATTTGTTTCATTTACTTATAAGCAAAGAATTATATTTCCAGCCAAGGGGGCGATTATCTCAGAAAATTTGTTGATTGTTAAATTTTTTAAGTAATCGTTGGTCGGCTGACAGCAAAGTTTATGTAAAAAAGTTCAGATCGACTTTTGAAGTTTGGCTACCCCCTTAAATATTTTCCTCAATGTCCATGCCTAAAATTGATGTAGATTATGACAAAAATATTACGTGATTAGATGAAGAAAACGACTCGAAACGTCAAACCAATTTTTATTGATATAAAAACTAAAAGGAAAGCAACTGACTTAAATATTATATTTTGACATATTACCAGCAAATATTGATGTGTTGTGATACACAAAAAAAGGCAAAATTATCAATAATTCATTCCGTTTCATGGGCCAAATTTTGTTAAAGTTTTGGAATTCTGGTATTCTGGAATTCTCTAACGCGTTTTTCGGATTTTACATAACGAAATTAAGTCGGATTACTTCTTTTTTGTTATTTTTAAGTTGTTCTAGTTTAATATCATTTATATTATGACTATTTCTCATCCGCCTTTTTAACTCAATACTGTCATAACTAGTATCGTGGTCGCTAGACTTAAAAAATATTTTGGTGGGCGTGTTTTTTATTACAATAAACTCCGTTTAATATTTTGCCCCTCCTCAGCTTGCCGTGTGGACAATATTCTTAAATCTTTTGAAAGCTTCTTGAAGCCAAAAAATTCATTGGGAACTAAATAAGGTTGACGTTTTCTGGCGAATCAAAAAACCGGATAGAGTTATGAGGGTTAAAAAAGATCTCCAACTCACGTTATCGCAGTATGAATGCACTGTGAGCAGATTCTCCTTCACTTTGGCCATGATTCCACCACCGAGGAGCGTATACTAACAAGGATTATTGGACACTAAGGGACTTATCTTCATTTAGGTCTCTTCGTGGGAATCATAAATTTACCTTTGCAGATAAGGCACCCAGGGGCTAACGGTGTGTTGCCCACACTAATAGATATATAGTTATGCTTCTTCGTCAGATTAACCAGCATGGAATAATACACCTATATGCGGGTTATCTCAATTTTTGGTATTTTGTCAGTTAGAACACTTCGTGAGAAAGGCGACGATATGTACCATAATCATCAAGAATTATTAATTTTTTTGTTTAAGGTTGTTGTAACGCGACATCAGAGCTTTGTCCCTCAGTCTTCTCAAAAGTAAAAGTTCGTTGTAGGATGTACCATTCTCTTCAGCCCATTGTTAACCTAGGTCAAACGCGTTAATTGCGTCTTGTGCTGTGACTTGTGGAGCAGTTGCGATCACGTCGTCGTTATTTTCCTGATTGCTGTTAATTAAAAACCTCTTTTATAATCTCTTCGTCAGACATTTCATGAAAAACATTTTCCTCTTTATCCATTCCACGGCACCAGATTTCCAAATCTTCCGGACTTATCTGTGTTTTCCAAGATAATTTAATAGTTGATGACGGTAACGCATTCCACGACTGACAAAGAGCAAAAACCAAGTCTTTCATATTAAATTTTTTTAGAGTTTTTTCTGTTGGTTGGTCTTTTGATACGGCTCTCAGAAGTAGGTTTTTCTTATAGTCTTGCTTGACAAACTGAATGATATTCTGGTCAATTGGTTGAATCAGTGCAGTGCGATTTGGCGGAAGAAACATCGCAGTGATGCATTTATCCTCAGTTGTTAGTTCTTGTTCAGACGGATGACCGGGAGCGTTACCAAGAAGCAAGAACGCTTTTCGAGGAAAATTATGATATTTTAACCATTTTCTAACTTCAGGTACGAAGCATTCATCAAACCACTTTTTGAAAAGGTCTTTGGTCATCCATGCACTTTTTTGTCCATAATAGTGTACAGGTAAATCAATGTTTTTGAATGCCCGTGGTTTATTAGATTTCCCAATGACCATCATCTTAAGCGCGTGTATGCCCGCAGCGTTAGCACATGGTAGTATGGTTACACGCTCTTTACTTACTTTTCGTCCAGGTACGGATTTTTCGTTACAAGAAACGAAATTTTTGTTAGGCATTACACGCCAAAAGAGCCCTGTTTCGTCTGCATTGTACAGCTGTGACGGGTTAAGATTTAAATCGTTCACCTTTTGCAAAAATCTTAATTTAAAGGGCTCTACGCAGGTGGCATCGTTAGAAAGTTTATGTCCTGTAATAGTCATTAAAGGTATGCCATGACGACTTTTAAAACGTTCTAGCCATCCTTTGCTGGCCACAAAATCATCTTTTTTTGTTATTTCCTTATAAAAAAAATTAGCTTTCATGGCCAACATGGGTCCTGAAATTGGTGCATGCCTATTTCTTTCCTGAAGAAACCACATGTACAAAGCTTCTTCCAGTTCTGGATGTTTCTTGAGTGTCTGTCTCTGGCCTGGCCCGCAGTCAGTAGTTGACACGAACTTCTTGATCTATTCGTGGTTTCTTTCAATGTCATAAATTGTAGATCGGCGTACGCCGTATTCACTTGCTAAACTACTGAAAGTTTCATTGCGATTTAAGCGGTCTAAAATATCACATCTTTCTTTAATTGTCAATGTTTTGTGCTTTCGCTTCTGAGTTTGTGATGACATTACTAGGTACTATAATACCTAATACACAATGAATAAATAGTAAACAATGAACGCACGCTAGCCCGTACCGCTATCACAAGTAGTCAAATTCAAACTAAGTAAAACAATGCTTACGCGTCGAGCACGATAGCGGTGGCGCGTACAAGTTGTAACCTGTTCAAACCTGCGTGATCTACATTAGCGAAGATTGTCAAATACGTATGTATGTAATATTCAAAGACATATCGGATTACAGGGGGCGCCGGATTTGGCAGGTGCCGGATTATCGGGGGTCCACTGTATATAAGTTTTGTATCTAAGTGTGTTTGGTTGAAAATGAGTGAATTTCTGACAAACATGTAAACTAATGAACAATCAAGTACCAAATTAAAAAAACAATGTTAGTGGAAACTCAGAATACATAATTTGTAAGCTACGTAAGCTACGCAAAATCTCATAGATGCGATGAACATGAAATAATTTCAGGTCCCAAGACCGTGTGTAAAGACCTCCTTCCCCTATGAAATATATTACCTTCAGTATTGTGCTTTGTGGAATATGTGAAAGACTGTGGATCTCAAACTGGCTATTAGTCTTTTTGCGGTGTGATAGGATGTGACTAAGGAAGGAGCAATGAATATCATAGTAATTAGTAAAAAAACATTCAATACAGAATTTATGAAATGAAACTGAAAGTTTCAATGACGCTCCCAGGTCCTCCTACTTTCTTTGAACAGTAGATAACCATGATTGGGGTCACGAACATATCAAGGATTCCCAAAATGCAGAACGAGATTGCTACTTTCTATCATCATTTTTATGACATAAGCTTAACTGAAAAAATACACCAAGGTAAAATCCGCTCACTGCAGCATCGTCCCAGAAAATCGAGAAAACTCGTTCGAGTACGCAAGGAAATCGTCGATGCCTGATTGGGTTTTAAATATTTACGCGGATTCTGTGCCGGTGGCTGGCGTAGCCGTCGCGCGTCGGCGTCGGCGTCCCGACGCCCTACAATGTTTCAAAGGAACGTACCACGGGCCGCTGAAAAATTCACGAGGAAATGTGTGTAAACTAAAAACAGTAGGGTCACACCGCTGTAAAATCAATTTCAGGTGGGTGGACCATGAGAGGTCATCCCATTTACAAAGTCCATTTTTAAAAAGTCATAGTTTTTTTTACACCGAAGCAGCCGCGCAGGCAGAAGTTTAAATGCCAGAGAACCGCTACGAGGAGTGCAAAGAAACTTTGTTTATGCGATTTTAGAGACAAAGAAGCGCTCGTATCGTACAGTTCTGGAAGTACGAAGTTTGAAACGGTTAGGATGGAAATCATTCTTATCAAGTCATGACTGTAGAGGTACCTACTCCAGACGATCCAGATTTATGCACCTCTACCTGCACCTCACTTATAACAGAAGGCAGAGCTATAGGCCTGTAGTTGTAAGGGTCGGTCTTAGATCCTTTCCTTTTGGGAATGGGTTGGACATGATCAAATTTCCGATTGGGAAAGGGCCGGGTTCGTAAGATATCCGGAAGAAACGGGAAGGAGCTGGAGCAAGTACAACGGCAGAAATCAGTTACTGGCATGCAATGACAAATTTCTCATTTTTCCACTAACAATCATTGAGCGCAAAAACACAGACACGGCGGAAGGTCGCTCGTGTCGTTGTTTTGTCAATACGGTCCCTCACTTTGTTGATTCTGATCGTCAACGTAGAGATTATAATATAAGCTAACAGCAAAACGGGCTTTTGAAATGTACCGCCTCAATATTTACTGAATATTAGATGTGTAACACCATCTGTATAATTTTGCCCACAGAAGGGACGGACCACTACACCGAAATAACAACTGTTTACGTAGTCATGCCATAAGTTCTGTCCCTCGTTTTCAAACAAGTGTAGACCTGTTAATACTTGTCCGATTGTTTACATTGTGGTGTCAGTTGATTAAGCGCTTTTCGGGTAATTACATATACCTCAGTTTGTATTGATCTCTCGAAGCATAACGATGGAGTGGGGCAAGGCTGAGAACCGTATTGCAGTGATAGCTTTACATAAGTGTAATCACAGTGCTAGTCAGATTTTTGAACTCTTACGCGGCCTTCAAATATCGCGTAAATTTGTGTCTAGGACCATTCAGCGGTACAATGAGACGTCCTCTGTTGATGACAGGCCAAGAAGCGGAAGACCTCGTCAAGTAAGGACTCCAGCAGCCATCAAAGCCGTAAAAGCCAGGATTCAAAGGAATCCACTCCGGAAGCAGAAGATCCTATCCAGGGAAATGAAGATTCCTGTCCGGACGATGTCGCGCATCATTAAACAAGACCTAGGGCTAGGGGCTTACCGGAGACGTACGGGCCAGCGACTTACGGCCACCTTGCGACACATCAGGGCGACAAGATCCAAGAAGCTCTTGGAGAGGTACGCAGCTGGGGGATTCCGAAAGATTTTGTTCACGGATGAGAAAATCTTCACCATAGAAGAAAAATTCAACCGACAAAATGACAAAGTGTATGCAAGGAGTTCACAGGAAGCTTCGGAGATCATTCCGAGAGTTGAGAGAGGCCACCACCCTGCGTCAGTCATGGTTTGGTGGGGGGTGTCCTACGAAGGGGTCACTCAGCTCCATTTCTGTAAACAGGGCGTGAAAACAAAAGCGGCAAACTATCAGAGCGACATACTGGATCCTATCGTCAAGCCTTTAAGTGGTACACTGTTTGCCAACCAACACTGGGTCTACCAGCAGGATTCCGCCCCCGCTCACAAGGCTAAGAGTACGCAGCGCTGGCTGGAAAGCAATGTGCCAGAGTTCATTGCTGCGGAAGATTGGCCCTCAGGGAGTCCGGACCTCAATCCTTTAGACTACAAGTTGTGGGACCTGCTAGAGCAGTTGGCCTGCTCCAAAGCCCACCGTAATATCGAGTCCCTGAAAGCGGATTTGATCCGATCAGCGGCAGCTATTCCTTTGGAAGCTGTGCGTGCAGTGATAGATGAGTGGCCCGCGAGATTGAAGCAGTGTGTGAAGGCCAAGGGGGGACATTTTGAATAAAACTGTTTGATTATGAATTCTAAAAATGTTGTCGAATAAATAATATCTTTCATATAAATATATCTTATCTTGTTTCATTTTTATCATGAGATTATCATGGGACATAACTTATGGCACGACTACGTATTTAACCGATTCACTGTTTCGCAATGGTACGATTTGTAGTCCGCTAGACCAAGGTTTCCCAACATATTTTTTGTTGAGGCTCAATGGACTATAAATTATATTTTCATGCCCTACTTTACTTTTTCAATAAATACAAAAAAACGCACACTATATAGGTACATTTAGCTGTTTAGTTTTAATTAAAACTAGAGCAGAAAAGCCTGTCTCACATAAAAAACTTGAAGAAAAACGAACTAGTATTCGTAAAGCAAGAGAGGAAAGTGTCGAATTAACAGGCGATCTTTTGATCCAGAATTTCTCCAATGTTAGAAGATGGAAGTCATCTTTCATGGACGAATCAGCCTTTATTTCTAGAAATTCTTCCTAAACTTCTTCTGGTAATTGTGACAAATCGATAACAAATGGATTTCTTGTCATGTGCCATATTGGTCACTCTGAGTTGATGTCCCTATGGTATCGGCGAAATTCGTCTTCCAGCTCTTGCAAATGATTTTTTATGTCAGCTTTTAAATTTACAACCAGTATGTTATTTTTAATTACTCCGAACAGCCGACAAAAAGATATAACATATTCAGAAGACACTTTTTGATTTCAAAGTTGAAGCTTGGATATGAACCCCTGAATATAATCATACTTGCTTATTATAGTAGGTTTCTTCGGGTTCTTATCATTAGTGTTCTAGAACTATCAGGAACATGCGCAGAAGAAACCGACGTGTTCGGGTTTCTGCCGGATTACTACCGGACTGTTTTAGAACTACAATTTGGTGTTCGCGTTATATTCTGATTCAGTTCTAGGATGGTTCGAGAATCGTTCAAGCAGTTCTTGCTTTACTACCGGGACCATTTTTGAACTGATTTTTCTTATGCGTATTCCTTCTGCCAATGTCATTAAAATTATTTGACGTGTTTTGCTTCAAATGCTGTTTACTTTTTTGCGGTTTGAGAAGCGTTTTTTATTTAAAATTAAAAGAAAAGTGGACAAATGAACCCAATGCAGATCATTTAGGATTCTGATTCGTCATCATCATCGTCGTTTGACATGATGAATTTGAAGCAGTTACACCCAGCGTACAAAACTTTCGTGAATACTTTATAAGAAAAAAATGTGGTTATAGTTACTGACAAATGTTCTCTTTTCTTATCTTCTTTGTTCCGCAGTCATGGATTCAGGCTGTTCGGGTTTTGGCAAAATACTGATAGTTCACGGACTGTTCATAACTGCTTGAGAGATCTTTCCCTTTACGCATTTAGTCTTGCGCAGTTCCAGAACCTTTCTGTGACAGTACTGAGTTTAGAACTCGAAAATAACTAATGTTGTTTCTGCCCTGAAGTTTCAAGATTACCTCATTCAAGCAGTCAAATATGTCAGTTAAATAAGCCAACCTCTATTGAAATGTGTCATCTTTGAACATTGTGTTTTTGAAGTCAAGAAAAATAATTACCTCTTATTTCAATTCATAAAGTCGAGCCAACATTTTGCCTTTAGACAGCCACCGTACTTCTGTATGGAACAGAAGAACTTTGTGATCAGCATCGAGATCCTCCAAAGTAAAGTAGATAACCGACTGTTCAAAGCGTTGCTCTTAATGTAGTTTACAATCCTTATAGCCGAGTCCAAAGTCTGGCGTAATTTTTGTGGCAACGTTTTGGAAGCCAAAGCTTGCCGATGAATAACACTACTATACTAACCATTGCGGGATTTTTTCTTTGAGCTTTTTAGCTAAGCCCGATCGTACACCATCTGTGCAAAATCCAATGAGTTTTTTCCAATCCAAATCATCTCTTTTCAACAAAATTTGATATTGAATTAAATATATTTTCAGATGTAGTACCTGCTGTCAAAGATTGGGAGTACAAAGTCTCTTCTTGGATAATATGTCCGCCCGAACATAACCTATTAACTGTGCCACAATTAACGATGTCGATACTTTGTTAATTATTTGTGACTGTATGTCTGCTGCAATGCTATCGATTCTACGCTTGACTGTATTATTCAAAAGAGAAATAGAATTCATTTTTTGCTCTGCATCTTCTCCTAAAATCATCTGCGTGGCTTTTGGACACGTGGTTTTATTAATTCTTCATCGATAGTATGGGGTTTGTTTTGCTTTGCTATCATAAAAGCTATTTCAAATGAAGCTTTGCGATGCTGCAATACACCTATGGGATAACTTCCCGATTTATCCAGTCTCATCCGCTTGAGTAATTCTGCTTAAGAAGAAAAAAATTCTTTCGTCTTCAAAACCAGAGTAGGATGTTGATGCTTCAAATGCCTTCCAAGGCGACTGGGCCTCATGCTATTATTAGTTAAAACTTTCATACATATCACACACTTTGGAAATTGTAACTCGTCTTTTTCTATGAAGGTAAATCCAAACTTAACGTAATCTTCGGAAAACCTTTTTTTTCGCTGCTATTTTGCACGTATGCAAATAAGTAATAAATAAATAGGCATAATAGCTAGATGTAATTACTAATTATATACCCGTTATTTTATCTCTATAACGCAATGTACTCAACAGTATATTGTCCACCGGGAGATTTATATATTTGTAGGCAGGTTGACGTTATAATAGTATCTTTAAATACATTTGGAATCAATATTAGCTACTTAAAGTTTGTCGCTTCAAAATTATTTCGCCACGTTGGTTGG